CTTTTCTATTCTCAACTGTTTTAAATTCATTTTAAACCTTTTAAATCAATTTTTAAATCATTTTCAACATTTTAAATTCCTTGTTTTATTGTTGTGATTATTATTATTTTTATTATAATTTTTTCATTTCTTTTATGTAAAGCACTTTGAATTACCATTGTGTATGAAATGTGCTATATAAATAAACTTGCCTTGCCTTGCCTTGCCCCTCCACAATCAATCACAAGCTCGCATTCATTTTTTAGTGCAACGCCCACATCACAAAATCCAGCCAACAGCTGATGGGTAGAACCAAGTCCCTGTCCAATATATATATTTTAATAATCACACTTGGATGTAAGTTGCTATATGAAAGAATAGCTGTTGCTACTTCTGTGTAATTGCAACTTTAAATTATCTTTCTTATAAAAAAAATTTATGCAAACTATTAGGTTGTGTTGTAAATCAAATATTGGAATCTTTTTTTTATTATTATTAATTTGTTTGTTTTTGCAGGAGCTGTATTGTATTTCAAAGGAGAACTGTGATTTTGAGGTGACAGCTGGTCCATCCAAAACTAGCCAAAATGACAAGAGCTCCTCAGGAGGCGAGAGTGGAGGAAGCTCTCCCTCTACATCTCATGGAGCTTCCACAGCTAACAAGACCAGTAAGCGTTCGCCATGAACAGATCCTGTTTGGTCTATAGTTGTCAAATGTGACACTTGCATCATAAAAGTACCATTAAAAAAAGTTCTTACATTCTGTAATTGTTCCAACTGTTCAGAAAACAGTCATACTCCCAAAGCAAAGGCAGTGAAAACCGAAGCATCTTCGCTAGCAGTTAAGAGGAAACTACCCACAGAGAAACAAGATGCCAAGAAGGTTTGTTATTTGATGAACCCATATACTGTATACACTACTGTTCAGAAGTTTAAGATCATGTTTTTGAAAGAAGTCTCTTTATGCTCCCTGAGGCTATTTGATAAAAAAATGCAGTAAAACAGCAGTATTGTGAGATATTATATTAAAATAGAAAAGTTATTTTAAATTGCAATATTTTAAAATGTAATTTATTCCTGTAATAGCAAAGCTTAATTGTCAGCAGGCATTACTCTAGTCTTCAGTGTCACATGATCCTCCAGAAATCATTTTAATATGATTATTTGATGCTCAAGAAATGTTTTTCATTATTATTAATTTTACTGACCTGAGCTTAACTTGCTGACCCCAAACTTTTAAATGCCAGCGTGTTTTCTTTGAACACAGGCTTAGTCTGTCATGCCATGTCATGGTTCATTTATCCATTATTAGATCATTTCTCTCCTCAAACCCTGTGGTCTTGTTCTATTTCAGATAAAAACAGAACCTGTTCACAGCAATGGACAAAGCAAATTGCAGACCGTTCAAACAACTGACCCAAAGAATGAAAAGGTTTGTTTTTACCTCTTTTGGTTGCTTTGTACTTAAAGGGATAGTTCACCCAAATATAATAATAATAAAAGACTGTCATCATTAACATTATTTACTCTTGTCGTTCCAAACCTGTGTGACTTGCTTGCAAAAGAAGATATTCTACATAAAGTTTAAACTGTTTTTGTCTATAAAATGAGTCCGTAGGTTCCAAACAGAAGTTATGAACACTGAACCTCACTGACTAAAAAAAAAGAAGACATTTTTCAAAGTATCTGCATAAAAATACAAAGTGAGGGGATGAGTAAATTATGACGGAATATTCATTCTTGGGTGAACTCTTCCTTTTAAAGCTAAAGGGTATAATTTTGCTGATATGATACTTCACCACTAAAACCCTTGCCATCTTCCTGCAGACACTACTGGACATTTTCACAGGTGTGAAGCTCTACCTCCCAGAGTCAGTGCAGGACTTTGAGAAGCTTCGGCGCTACTTCCTAGCGTACGATGGAGATCTGGTGCATGAGTATGACTCCGTTTCAGCGACACATACACTGGGAGAGCCAGAGGACGACAGTCCGGCTCAGAGGGTCACCTCCAACTGGATCTGGGAGTGCATCCGAAAGAGGAGGGTGGTTCCTCCCAGCTGAATGAGGTAGAGAGACTGCAGGAAGGACACTATCACTAAGCTCAGGCATTTTGTCCTATAATGACATTGTTCATTACAGAACATTTAAACCTATTTCATCAGACCTGCAGCTACAGCAATAATGCTGTCGTTCATGACAGAGTTGAATAAACATTTTTTAAAAGGTGTCACAAACTCATGTTTTTGTTTGCTTTACCACATTGTGGTATTACACACATTGTACTAGAAAACTTTCAGTTTAATAGCTTTTCAAGTTGGTTTTGACATTATTTTTCACTATGAATTTGCATATTTATAATTTTTAAACTGTTTTCGGTGTCATTGACTAGTGCTGCCACTCATTTCATAAGCATATTCTTGAAAGAGCTCAATACATGTAATGATTTTGATGACTTCATCGTGATAGTGTCATTTATCTGTTTTAAAAAGGATGTTTGTATGGAGTATGCTCTTGGGCACAGGACGAGTGATTAACAATACAATAGTAACAGCCATAAGGCATGATTGTGGAATGAATAATTGTGTAGAGTAAATTGGGTAAGAGCCCTCTAGCTTAGTAATGGTAGTTGTGTGTAATTTCAACTGTTACAATCATTCTAATTAAAACAAGCCTTTTATGCACAAAGAAATTGATTCGTGCCTGAATAGAGTCAGTCTAGCGTGCAATGGGGGAGTGATTGTGTGAGTGTCTGTATAACATGAGGACAATTTTAAGCATTGGATTTTTTCTCCTTGTCTAATCCGGAAGGTGCACTCAGTAATTTTTGGAGTTATACTGACACACAGAGGTGAGATGCAGAATAATGCAAAAAGTATTTTGTTTTTCCATTGAAAATGGTTTGTGGGGTTCATTTTTACTGTTGGTACTGAGGAAAACAAATCTATTTTTAAGAGATACTCATTTCCCAGTTTCATTTAGAAAATAAAAAGATGGCAACATTATGCAAATGTTTTTAACAAAAAAAAGAATGCAAGTTATTTTTGACTTCAGTAAACGGGACATTTACAAAAAAGTTAATTAAAAAAATAATTTCTTATCGCTTGTCAACGACCACAACGGAAACATTTTGTAGAAATAATATACATATTTACACTGACTCTAAATATACCTCCTATATAGTCTGTCTGAAATCAAAAGAAGGACAGCAATTCGTATTGTCACTGAATTTTGTTGTCAGGGTTTACTTCTTTCCTCTAGTTTCCTCTTGCCTGAAATAGAGGTTCTCCTCTCTTCAGACCAGTGACAAAGATCAAACCCCTCTACCAGATGACAAGCCTGAAGATGATAGAAAAAAAACATCAGTAAGTAATGTTCCATGCGTATCCACTAAGTAAAGACTATTGGGTTATTCTTGAAAATCAAGACAATTTTGCCTAAAACCCCACCTGTCGTGATGATTTGGTCAGAGTTGCGGTTCGTAAGGATGAAGTCTCTGCACCCTCTATTCTCTGCAGGAGCACACGAGTGCGCGGCACATGACTCCATGACTGTCCTAGTCCAGCCTTCAAATGCCCATTTCCATCTTTGGTCACATGGTTTGTCACCTTCAATGCAAGATTTCACCATATCAGTTTTTATTACAAAGGACAGTCACTGTGAGAAACATGCAACAAGCAAGACCAGTGAATTTACATCACTTTTCCAGTCATTTGTAATTACTGTCTCAGGATTTTCCAAGCTGTGATGAAACCGGTGTAGCATCTTCCATATTGTGACATCCAAATCAAATGGATTATCGAAAAAGAAAAAAATGTAGGGCGGCGACTTCTATCAAACGGTTGTTGATGGGAGGAAAATCAGCTGAATGCAAACTTGCAGCCAATTGTAAGAAAGGAGCAGGATTTCAGCGGACTAAATAATTTGGAGAAGTCTGTCATTTTACAAAATGACAAAAGAAACATCTAGATGGTTGAATTGTACTATAAGATCTCACTATAAGATCAATAATGTGCATGTACAAAATTTTATGCCAAGTTCAAAAATCATTTTATTCTCATTCGCAAAGAGCATCCTTAAAGTGATTAAATATTTTGAAAAAAAAAAACTAGCAATATATATTCAGTAGACTCTTCCAGGCCTGGAAACAACCATTTAAAATTCAGTAATATTTCCAGGTTTTCCCTAACAGGAAACAGAAAGGTGCATACCAGTACAGCAATGCTGAAGTCTCTGGCGATCATCTTCAGCTCCCCAGCAACTTGCATCAGCAAGGACATACCTGATGCAAAGCAGCAGCACTGTGACATCTAATGTGTACGATGCTAATTAGAACAGAACATTATGATAGAGTATTATGCAATACTGTAAACAAATACCCTCATTCTGTTTCCCTCCGAGCATGGACGAGAGCACAGCAGAGACTGAATCCACCATCAGCGCTTTGACTGAACCACCTCCAACAGACGCCTAGGGCACATTCAAGAGTTCTGTAACAAATAACCACTTACATCAACAGACCTTTACACAGAATAATACTTACCTTCTGAAGGCCATTCGATCTCAGATTTTGAAGACATGCGAGCAAAGAGAAGACATCAAATACTCTCAACACCTTGATTTTTTGAAGTGCCTCCATCTGTATATTGAAAAGGAAAGGACATAAATTCTGCAGCACAGTACGGTACAATACAATATAGTTTAAAGGAATCAATATTGGCACAAATGCTGTTCATTTGCCATAGTTGAACAAACATGATGATACTTGCCTTAGCAAGCACTACTAAGAAATTACACTTTAATCACCTGTTCCTCCATATTAGGGGTCTTGGATTGTAGCATCTGAAGCAGTCGGTTTGCACACATACCCCCCTTTGTGTCAATGTAAAACACAGTCTGCTTCAGCTGGTGGGATATATTAACTGCAACACTAAAACACACCTACAAAGTGATTGAGAGAGACACAGAGCATTATTGAACACTCACCCATTTGCCCACCCAACCCTAATAGGTTATAAAAGCAGGCTGTATTTTGAAATTGTAGAGCAGGGCCAAGAGACTAAGAAGAGTTTCCAGGACAACAGATCACCTGTGTTTTCCCGCTCCCTGGACTTCCTGCCAGCTCAGTTATTTCCCCTGTGTACAGCCCGGAATCCAACAGCTTATCCAAACTGAAGACAAAACAGCACAGTTTTGCACAGAGCCTTAATACAAAATCCATACATATGCACTACCGTTCAAAATTTTGGGATCAGTAAGATTTTTAAATAACTTTCAAGTTTGCTGCATTTATTTGATCACAAGTACAGTAAAACCAGTAATATTCGTAAAAAGCAACTGTTTTTTAATACATTTTAAAATGTAATTTAATGTAATGGCAAAGCTGAATTTTCAGCATCATTGCTCCAGTCTTCAGTGTCACATGATCCTTCAGAAATCATTCTAATATGCTGATTTGGTGCTCAAGAAACATTTCTTACCATCAATATTTAAAAAAAAAAAAAATGAGCTACTTATTTTTTTTCAGGATTTTGAATTTTTTAAACATTTTCGGGATAAACTTAAAGTTCCACAGAACAGCATTTATTTTAAATAGAAATATTTTGTAACATCATACATTTATTTACTGTCACTTTTGATCAATTTAATGTTTACTTGCTAAATAAAAGTATTAATTACTTTCAAAACATATATACTGACCCCAAACTATTCTATATTATGTTATATTGAATTATATTATATTATGAATCCTCCACATATATGTGTGGGACCTGGGATTGCCGGTGGACAATATTGCTGTGGAGCTCAAGAGCTCCTCATAGAGATCAGCTCCAGAGACGGGAAAAGCTGTGTACTGAGCCAAGAGCACACGCCGAACAGCTACTAGAGCCTAAAATACAACATGGACAGTTTTTAGTTAGTTAACTTTGTTTAGTTTAGTTACACTGTCCCTGTGATGGATAGAGGTAAATAAAGGTGAGGCCTGAATAGGCGCTAGCTGAAGTAAGAAAACTGGCACACTAAAAATGAAGTCATTCCACATACCTTGTAAGACAATGAACACTTTTGTGCAAGTTCTTCTGGGTTACATGAGACAAAGTCCTCAACTGAAAGAATTAAACATGTATTATTACAAGGGCACGGGCAGTTATGGAGTAAAGAAAACTTTAATTCCCACAAGGGACAATAGTGCTTGAGCAGCAACAGTACTTCAGTGAATAGTCCTCTCATTAGTCATTCATGCCGTTCCAAACCCCGCTGTTATTTTTTTGTTGGAACACACAATGAGAACTTTCGCAGAATCTTCACTCAGCTCATTTCCATACAACAATTTATAGTTCATAGTCTGACAAACGCAATTCAAGTATTTTTTGTGAGGAACAGACCACAAATTAATTAATTATTCAAGAATACCCCCCCCCCCCCCCCCCCCCCCACGAAGATGGTGAGATAAAGTTAATCATCTGCCATACGCTCACACACAGAGACGGAGTCCATGAAAAAAAAATAGAATTGTCCATTTTGATTTCATGGTGACTTTAAAGACTGACAGATATGGTCACCATGATCTATGGTTGTATGAACGGCTATGAGAAGAAAAAAAAAAAACGTATTTTGCGTTTAAGGTGGAAAAAAATAGTTTGGTTTTTGTAACAATTTTGGAACAATGAGTAAATAACTACAGAAGCATAAAATACAGTGTACAGATATACGGTATATTCCAACACAATAAAGAAGAAAGAACCCGATAATTACACAGTAAATAAATCTAATATTAAAGTTAGAATTATTAGTGAGTTTTATTATTATTATTATTTATTTTTTACATTTTTAATAAGATATTACAGTGGTAGATGGTTTAATCTCCTAAAAGGTAACGTACTATATAGTACATCTTGTTAGTTTAGTAAGGATGAAATGAACTGAAACTACATGTTGCTATGCGTGTTATGATCATTGTCAACAACACCTGTTTTGATATCCTCTGACTGTAAAGCCTTAATGAATTCCTCGTTTATTCCAGGGCAGATCCCTTCTCTCAAGATCACCATGACTCCCTACTAGACAGAGTTTAAGAACACAATCGACAACAATGTTAATAAAAAAGAGATAATAAGAACGCTACGTTAAACATCTAAAAAAACAAAATACTTGATGATCTCACCAGATGGCTAGAAAACCCATCAACACACTTATGTTCTTCACATCAGGGTTCTTTTGGGTGTCTTTACATATTAGCAGACATCATGACTTTTTATTGCCGCCCGCCACATTTCAACACCAGTCAGCGATCAGCGTAATTGACAGCAGACCCGTCCAATCACAGCCTCCGTAGTGTTCCATAAGCCAATGACAGACTTTCTACTTGTGCTAAGCTCCGCCTCGCGTGATCGGGGCGTGCGTAGAGAAGTGAAAGTAACGCGATTGGTTCGGCTGGTTCCTAAACACAGAAAACATCAGTTTCCGTCAACCAGCAGCTCGCTATAGACGCAAAGGCAAATTAAAACCGTGTTTTGAGAATATAGCGCACCTGCAAATAATGGGAAGGAGTGTTGTGCACTCCTATACCGCTGTCAGCTGTGTGTTTGTCGCTCAGGCCCGTTAGGCTCGAGTCAGTTAGCGTTAGCCGCCTGGATCTGTCGTTCACACTCGCGGGGGCAAAATGGTGAGTTTGAGATTTCCAGCTTGTTTTAAGTTAATCGCTTAACGGGTCGTATTTGTGTGGTTGGGGATGGTTGCATAACTAGCTAGCCGCATAGCTGCTCGCGTTGCATGTTGCCAGATTGAGCTGTTTTTGTGAGAGCATTAATACGTGACGTTCAGATCGGAGCTCGCAGCTGGATGTCGGCTGTGTGTCAAAACATAGTGAGTAGCCTGCCTTTACTACATTTATAGGTGTAACAGACCCGCCAGTGATGCTCCACAAATACGTCCTTGATAGATAGCTCACTGGGGTTTGACACACAGCCTTCGTGTAGAATTGACAGCTCGATATGAGCTGCAGACTATGACTAAGAGGTGGAGAGATTCAGGCCTTCATCGGCAGCCTAATAAGACAGTATGTGAGCAAATATGATACACGCCAATGAAGCATAACCGAGTGTACCTGCCGGTTTGATCCCTGTCTGTAAATATAGGGATGCGAATCCTAAGGAACTTAATGATTATTATTATTCCGATTTATTCATAATGATTCTGGCTTATTAACGATTCCTGTATTACTTATGAGTAAGAAATACTTCCCTCAACAGTGTTGCCAAGATGTAAGTGCAGAAATCAGTTTAACACTGCGAAATTCCATAAGAATTAAAGCTGCAAGCAGCGTTGAAAGGGCCTTCGGAGCCACCTCCATCCTGTGGCCTCAGAAAAACAGTGAACGGAGGGCAATATGCATTTAAAGTGGTAAATATCGGAGGAATGTCAAAGTCATTTATATGTGCCAAACTTCCTGGTGGCGCTATGTCTATAACTGAATATTGGCATGTAGATGTCTTCAGGCCAGGACTTTTTTTCAAACATGTGAAGTCTGGTGCAGATTGAATATTGCATATTTCAGCATATTTCAGTTTCAGTCATTTCCTGTTGCCAGCAGGTGGCGCTATGACTATAAGTGAAAATGGGCATGTAGATCTCTTCAGGTCAGGAGTCTTATCAAACGTTTGAATTTTGGGGCAGATCGGACATTGTATGGCTGAGTTACAACAGCATCATTTTCCATAGTGAAACATCGAACTTTGTCAGGCTGCCACGGACACGCCCTTTAACAAAAACTCAAGATCTTCGCAATTTAACATCGCAAAGATCTTTAGATTAGACTGATCAAATATAATGATGTCATTAAATCTCTAGGAGGAGTTCGTTACAGCGTAAAACATGCCACTTCCTGTTGGCAGCAGGTGGCGCTTTGACTACAACTGAGCATGGGCATGTGTTCAGGACAGGACTCTTATCAAATATGTGAAGTTTGGGGCAGATCAGACATTAGGTGCGTTCGACTTGAAGCACGGCTACAGACGGCAGTCAACGAGGGTAGCCGCTTGCAGTCGGGGGCGGAGTTGAAACCGGAGCCGTCAAGCCGGACATGTCTGCTCCCGTTAGTGACGCTCTCGCGGTGTTTGCATACTCTATCACAGATGAAGT